ACCAAAACATCTCAATTTAAATCATGGTCAAAATGTTTGAATAAATACTTCACTAAAGAAGATATACCAATGGCAAATAAATGCATGAAAAAATGCTCAACATCATTTGTCATTAGAGAAATACAAATTAAAACCCCAATCAGATATACTACACACTTAGTGCAGTAGCGAAAATTAAAAAGAGTGACCCTATCAAGTGTTGTTAAGAAAATCAAGCAAGCAGAACTCTCAGACACTCTTGGTGAGAATGTAAAATGGTAAAACCACTTTGGAAAGCAGTTTGAGCGTTTTGTAAAATGGTAGATGTATATCTACCATACTTTCTACTCCTGGGTATTTATCCAAGAGAAATGAAAGCAATGTACATTCATATTTATATGAATGTTCATAGATGATGTGCTTGTTATAATCAAATACTGAGAACAGCCCAAATGTCTATTAATGGATGAGTGGAGAAAAAAACTGGTATATTTGTTATAAAATACTACTCAGAAATGAAAAGGAATGAACTATTAGTACATGCTACCACATGGATAAATCCCAAAATAATTATGCTGAGTGAAAGAAGTCAGATAAAAGGGTACATAATGATAATTCTACTTATATAAAATACTAGAAAATGTAATCTATAATGACAGAAAGCAGATCAGTGACTATTTGGCATGGGTGTGCAGAGAGAGATCCAAGAGGGAGAGATTACCAAGGGGCATGAAGAAACATTTGAGGTGATGAAAATGTTCATTACCTTAACTGTGGTGATGGTTTTGTGGATGTACACATGTCAACATTTATCAAATTATACACTTTAAATACTTGCAATTTTTGGTATATCAATTATATCTCAGTATTTTTAAAAAACAAATCTTATGATTTGTCTTCAAGTATCTAAAGCAAAATATAGGTCGAGGGGCTCCAAAATCACAGTACTTAAAGTATTAACTTTATTGGTTCTAAAATGCATCTTGTCTTTGTGAAATCAACTATTCTTGTTAATTTCCCAGTCAACAGGCCACAAAGTCCATAACCAAAGCTTTCTCAACACACTCAGTTCAAGTAGATCAAGTCCTTAAAAACAGGCTTCACTACCCGATTTTTCTCTTTCCTTATCTTGAGGAGGGGAAGGAAGAGGTGTATGAAATAAATATAAGGTAAGATATAAAAGAGATTGGTGGAAATTTACGATGGAATACTGGAAAATGTCTATCAATGTCCAAAATATAAGGGTTTTCTTTACCTTTTCTCCTTTTGTTTTCCTTCTTTCTTTACTGTCCTCTGCTTTTAAAAATTCTGTTTCCTTTCCCTTGTTTCCTTTCTTACCTTCTGTCTTTCCACTTTCTTTCACCTCCCATATCTCAATTCCCTCATTTGCTGGCAGGACTGTACAGTGGCTGGCCACAGCATGGACTATGGAGCAGTCTACCCAAGTTCAAATCCCTTGCTCACAGTGTTAGGCATGGTAATATCCCGCACTTTAGCTCCCCTATCTTAAATAGAGTAATAGCAAATGTTCCTTCCTTATAGGTTGCTGTGAGGATTAAATATGTCAATATAGAAAAAACACTTGAAATAGGTAATCACCAGGTAGGTGTTATCATTCTTAGAGCCACCATTCTACATCAGACACATCCGACCCCAATCAATTAAACATAAATAGCCCCAGGCTCAAAGAAAAGCAGAAGTGAGATTCCAAGGGCTGGAATCCAGTCCTGACTTGGTCATTACAGTTCTCTGACCCTGACCCTGTCACTTACACATCAATGCTTAAACTGTTTATTGGTAAAATGAGAAGTTTAGCGTAAAAGCTGGTCCCATTCAGCTTGTACCACTGCTTTTTGAAATCCAAAAGTATAAAAAATATTAACAAATGAAAAGCCTTTTGATAACTTTTAGGCACAAATGAGAAGTGGCATGGATTTTCATATTAAAATAAAGACTATTTTTTATTTAGTAAGAAAGATAACATCACAATTACATGGACATCACTAAAATTTTAGTGGACCACTAAATTACCTCTTTAATGTTTTATGAGAAATTGCAATATACAGTTGATTTTTATCTTCTGAAATCAAACATATTCAAAGTTTGGGTCAGAACTCCCCCTTTCCAAAGTTGTACATGGAGTCTCTTGAGAAGTTAGCAGCTTGTGTACTTCATTTGTGAGTAGAGAGTGTACCATCAGCTTGGACTTTGTGATCCAGCAGGAACGATCCTCATTTCAGGAACACTCTGCAACTATTCTGTCTTCTCTGAGGTCAAGCAGCATGAGTGGTGAGTGAAGTAACCATCGAAAACCAGAGTCCTCATGGTTCACTTTGTGTGAAATTCCCTGGAGTAAGTGTAATATTCTACGTGCAATCCTGTCATTCAAGAAAATCACTCAGTAGGGGTATTTAATATAGAAACTGTTTTTATTTGGCCTCATTACACATAACAGTTTTTTGTTTCCTTGTTTTTATCTACACAGTACCTTTTATATATCTGCTGAGTAACTAAGACTAGATTAAGGAGTCAAAATAAGTTGTGTTTAAGCACCAACTCTTTCTAGTTGTTAAGAAAGGCCCGTGGCAAGTTATTTATCTATTCCAAGCCTCAGTTATGTCATTACCTATATGGAAACAAGAACACCTCCCTCACTGGACTGGATTGAGGATTAAATGAACAAAATATCCTATGTATCCTCTATAGAAGGGATCCCCAACCCCTGGGCCACAGACTGTTCATGGTACTAGCAACTGGCTTGTGGCCTGTTAGGAACTGGACCTCACAGCAGGAGATGAGCGGTGGGCAAGTGAGCAAAGCTTCATCTATATTTATAGCTGCTCCCCATTGCTCATATTACCACCTAACTCCTCCTCCTGTCATATCAGTGGTGGCATTAGTGGGGCGAACCCTACTGGGAACTGTGCATGCAAGGGATGTACGTTGCAAACTCCTTATGAGAATCTATTGCCTGATGGGTCTGTCACTGTCTCCCTTCAGCCCCAGATGGGACCTTCTAGTTGCAGGAAAACAAGTTCAGGGCTTCCACTGGTTCTACATTATGGTGGGTTGTATAATTATTTCATTATATATTACACTTTAATCATAATAGAAATAAAGTACACACTAAATGTAATCCACTTGAATCATCCCGAAACCATCCCCCACCCCTGGGTCCAGGAAAACATTGTCTTCCATGAAACTGGTCCCTGGTGCCAAAAAGGTTGGGGACCACTGTTCTATAGCACATCCTTCTAGGTTATCAGATTCTAATCCTGTTCATGGTTTTTCAGCTATTTAGCAATTACTTGCAATGTTTTTAAAAATTATTTTTAAATTAAAAAAATTTTTTGAAAGAGTCTCACTCTGTCATCAGGCTGGAGTACAGTGGCACAATCACAGCTCACCACAGCCTTGATTTCCTGGGTTCAAGTGATCCTCCCACCTCAGCCTCCCGAGTAGCTGGATCTACAAGTGTGCACCACTATGCTCAGCTAATTTTTATAGAAATGGGATTTCACCATGTTGCCCAGGCTGGTCTTGAACTCCTAAGCTCAAGTGATCCTCTTCCTTGACCTTCCAAATGTAATTTCTCTGATTATATGGCTTTATGAAGACTACAGATATGACAGTATGACTCTGGAAGGGGGCATACAGCAGGGAGTTAATGCTCCTTTGAAGGGTTATTTCCATGATGATGAAGGGAATTCCTTCTTTTAACACTCATTTGGAGAAATTGCTATATATGTCAGAAACTCCCAATTCTCTAAAGATTGAATTAGGAGTACTACATTTCCATTGGGTCAAGCTCATATCCAGAAACTACTACACTGATTACCCAGTCAATGGGTATCAACTTGTCAATTGAAGACATATGAGAAACAATTAAGAATTTTGTCAAAATATAATAAAGGAACACTGATTAGGTCTTATGTCAGGTTCCAATTATGAGTCCCAAATCCCACTGTTGCCCACCAGGAATGTTTCTTGATAGTCCTCATAATTCCTAGAGGAAGTGTTTACACCACTCTGCTGGAATGAGTTGCTCCCATAAAACCTACAACATGGTTGATTCAATGTCATTTGCTGCTAGCTGGATTCACCTTTCTTTACTTATATATTCCTTTAGCTGTTTAGAGATGGTCAGAGGTATCCATAGCCTCTCTGCATATCCATGAGAGAATCTGCAAGACTCTTGCCCCATTTAGCCATGAGTTTTAACATTAGACCAGTTGTCAGAGGAAAGTAGGTGAGAACTAGCTGGATTGATTTAGTACCTTGATTGACTGGTATAGAAGATGGGGTTGGGGGTAGCTTAATTTACCTAACTAGTCTACATCAGGGCTTAAAATTTTGAGTGTGTGTGTGCGCACACCCATGTATTTAGGACAATAAACAGAAAATTCAAGTTTTTACTCTGATTTCCAAGATAAGGCTGATTAAGAAAGAGGTAGCAGGGAATCTTTATAACTCACTGCTAAGTACAACCTAAGAAATAATTTTATTACTAAAAATTGGAAAACATAGGAAATAAAATACAGCTCTACAGAAATATAAACTACTACTATTTTAGTGTATTCCCTACTAGATGCTCTTCTGTGCTTATTTTTATACTGTTGAGATCCTATGTATGTAGTATTTTTAACTTGTACTTGCACTTAAGATGTTCTGTGAATTTTCCTATATGTAATTCTTTTTAATGGCAAAATGTTACTTGATTGTAATTATATTTCAATGCAGTTAACTGCTTTCTTTTTTGTTGTACATAGTGTTATGTTGTCATGAATATTTGTGCATCAGTCATTGCAGTTTTCTCTTTATGATTATTTCCATGATGAAGGCTCTCAATAAAGTTTACCAAAGGCTTGTGCCAAAATACTCTTCAAAGATTTTTAAAAAATATTTTTATATTTAGTTTACCCAAGTGACAAAATATTCTCCTGCTAATCGTGTATGAGAATGCTCCATGTCATGTCAATATTGCCAGCATTAAATGATTCTGGAATAAAGGAAAAAGTCCTTGCTAGAACAGTATTTTATTGTAATTTTATTTACATCTTTTGATTACCAGTTACATTTTTTTTCTCTTCTGTCAACAACTTGTTCGTGCCCTTTGCTCAGTTTTCCATTTTTCATCCACATTAATGAAATTATTTTGTTTTATTAAGTCTCAATTGAAACAATACTTATGAAAGTTCATTTTACTGGATTTAAATATTTTATTTAAACAAATATTCTGAAGGCTGCAGTTTATTGATAAGAAAAATATAAAGCATACATGTTTGTAGATTATGTATTGACATTATAGTATATAGATTCTTCAAATAACATAATTTTGTAGTGCTACTAGTGGAATGCATTCTGTGGAAACATGCCTTTACCTTCAAATCTGAGCACAATACCCTTACATCAAAAGTGAAGAAAAGGACAATAAAAGCACAACTTTGATTAGTTTAAGTTTTGGTAGACCACATCTGATTTGCTGAAGAGTAAATTCATTTATTTACCTCTTCAAGGAAGTCATTATTTTTTGCATCTCTTTCTGTGCCTCTTTATCCTATAAAGAAAATACAAATACATAATGAAATTTCATGCATTCATCTTGATACTCTAGTGTGCTGAAATAGACTTTTGTTTTGAAAGAACATTACAAAGAGACCAGCTGGGTGCAGTGGCTCACACCTGCAATCCCAGCATTTTGGGAGGCCAAGCCAGGGGGATTGCTCGAGCCCAACGGTTCAAAACCAGCCTGGGCAACATAGTGAGACCCTGTATCTACCAAAAGAAAAAGAAAAAAAAAATTATCCAGGCATGGTGGCATGCATCTGGTAGTCCCAGCTACTTGGGAGGCTGAAGTGGGAGGATCGATTGAGCCTGGAAGGCTGAGGCTGTAGTGACCCGTGATCACACCACTGTGCTCCAGCATGAGTGAGTGAGATCCTGTCTCAAAAAAATAAAAAAAGGAAGAGCTGGATTTTTAAAGACCAGATCCAGATCTATGATAATGTGGGCAATGTGGATAGCTATTTCTGGGCTCTTCTTTCACCAGATCTGGAGTAATGGGATTCAGGATGAAGAGACATCCATGTAAGCTGACAATGGATCTGCCCTTGTGTCAATCTATTCTGGATTTTTTCTTCAGCTGTGAGATGTGAAGAAGCACTAGACCTAGCAGCAAGATTTGAAGAAATCTGAGATTCTGTTAGAGCTGGTCAACATATATTTCATTATTGACTTTATTAGAAAGCCTATAGTTAATACTAAAAATCATGTAATATGTTTTATAGGACATTATATCTATTGTTATTTCTTTACAACGAATGTGGATTCGAAAGAGTGGCAATAAATTCAGATGACGGGGTATTTTATGCATTTTTGCACTTGACAAACATTTTCTGAGCACCTATTAAAGGATTTAAGAGATGTAACATATGTGAAATAACCAGAGGAAGACAATAGGACAAGGGTAGATATTTGGAAGTAGTTGTTAGCTAAATTATTTTTGAAATTTTAAGTTTTCTAACACTTTTAATCATAAACATAAAACACTGATTCTATTGTAGTGATCAACTAAAGTCTATCTTCTATTAAACAATATTTACTGAAGGCTGTGAGAAAATAAAATTGCTGGTATCTGAGATACTAGTGTGATATTTAGAAGAACTGATTAAAAAATCAGTAATTCCAGGTGTTGAGTTCATGTTTATCAAACTGTTGGGCTATCTCATTGCTTGGCAGATGCTATTACTAAATAGATGGTCCTAAGTAAATGTTTGCTTAATGAATGATTAGACACTGAAACATGGTGGCAAGTTTCTATATCTAGGAATTAATTTCTTACAGCAGAATTATATAGATGAGAGCATTATTTCAATTAGATGGCTAAAGAAGTGAAACAGAAGAGGGCCCTCATGTGCTCCAGATCCCATTCACTCTGGCTTCCCCAGGCCCTTATTCTATCAATTATCTCCTTTTTCTCCAATCTTTCTTGAACCCTTCCTTCTTTGCTGGCTTTTTCTCATAATCATTTAAATGTGCTTCTATACTTCCCATCTACAACAAACCCTCAACACAAGCATCCCTTTAACCTTATGTCTCTCCTCCTTACCCGATGAAATTCTTTGGAAGAGTGTCTACACATACTGACTACACTTTCTCGCCTCCTGACTGCTTGGAACTCTGGTTTCCACTCTCTGCTGTTCTACAAAAAGTCTAGTTTAAGATCACTGATGATATCCACATCATTAAGTTCAACACTCACTCCAGTCCTTGCTTGCTTGACTTCTCCAGAGCATTTAATGGAGTTTACCATTTCCACCATCCCTTGGCTTCTGAGATCTCACCTTCTCTGGCCACTTCTTTCAGTCTCACTTGCAGGTTTCTCTTCCTCCCCCATTCCATTATGCTGGTCTTTCTCAGGGGTAGATCTTTTGACTTCTGCTTTCCATGTACTACATAGTCTCTTTTGATGACTTCTTCCAGAGCGCGGCTTCAGACATTGTTTATATGCCAAACATCCAATTACTCACTGGACTTAAAAATCTCACAAACACAAACTCAATGTTCCAAAACTGAAGTCACCTTCCCCACCAAACCTAGTTTTCCTGTATTTCCTGTGTTAATAAAGCGCATCTCCATCTATCCTGGTCAGTTTCCCAAGCTCAAAACCAAGATGTCATCCTTGAGTCCTCTTTCTCCCTCAATAACCAATCTCCAAGTCTTATAGAGAATACCACCTACAGTTCTGTGGAATCTGTTCTCTCCTCTTAATTCCTCACTGCCGTCATCTTAGTTCATGCCACCATATCATGTCTGTGTCATTGCAGTTGTTACCTAAATGATATTCCTGCTTCCAGTTTTGCTCCCCTCCACTCCAAGCCAGTCTCCATATGGTGGCTATTGTGCTCTTTTCTAAAAATCTCATTGTATTATCTGTTGCTGAAGACCCTTCAGTGGTTTTCCTCTGCTTTAAAGAAAAAGGCATGTAAGGCTCTCATCTCTTCTCCCCCTCTAGTATTCAACATTTCAGTCACATCATAAACTTGATTCAGTACTTTCGGGTATATTTCTCTTCTAAAGGCATTTGTCTGTTTTCTAGTGTTTCGTAAAATATGGCCTACATACTATGTGTTTCAGTATCATTTGGGATATTTGATACTGCAATGGATATTTACCTATATTTCCATTCTAGCCAGAGAGATACATATTTCAACACTCACATAATAGTTATCACACATTATTTTGTGTTCTACATTTTCCAGTTACATTAAAAGTAATTTTCTAGCCAAAGTCTTTGTAAATATGTTTAGAGCTGCATAAAAAATGGAAGCTGATCAACTGATAACAGTGACAAAATATTAAAGGAAAAATGACCCAATTACTTGGCATGTTTCATTTGTTAAAAGATAAATATCAATAGATTATATTCCATTTTTATTTCATTTTTAACATTCCATTTCAACTTTTACTACATACATATTCTCTAGGACTAATCTATTAAAAAGGGGTTATTTCATTGCTTATTAAGTATTACCAAATTCTATATTCTACATCTCTAAGAAAGAATCACAATTCTATACCTTTATGCTACATTTTTTTTTTTAAGTAATACATCACTGGGCAAAAGTCTCACTATTTGTTGAATTGTGTGCTAAAGGGTTCTTGGTAGAGTTTTTTCCCAGTATGAGTTGCATAAAGTCCAGGTAAAGGCATTTTCTACATTGACTTGAGGCCTGGGGAACCTCCCCAACATAAGAACTTTTAAGGTTCACGAAGTTACGTGCAATCGCTGAAGACTTTCCCTAATTCAGGACATTGACAGTGTTTTCTTTCTTAATTATTATTCTTAATAATTTTCTTTTATTTTTTTCATTTTAATAAGTTGCTTTTCTCTTAGAGAGTGTTTTATACGACATGAATCCTCACATGTTCTGGAGCGCTGCTCTATGAGTAAAGGGTTTATCATGTTTATTTCATTGAATTGCTTCTCCAGCATGACTTATTATTTTTCCAACAGGTTTCTTCCTCCTTGAAAAAACTTGCGACTTTCTTTCTGGTTTTACTTTAAGTTTTTTTTCTGCATATCAAGGCTCAAGCTTTGCCTAAAGGGTGTAGGGTTTAGCCCTGTGGGAGCTCTCTGGTATCTAAAAGCAGAACCCAGACAGATGGAAACTTGAGAGACCACCTATATAAGGTTAGGGCTGAGGCTGAGGGCTCTTCCAAATGCTGTACATTTATAGGGTTTCTCTCTATTGTGCATTGTCTCATTATGACTAAGGTGAGACCATTAAGGGAAGGCTTTCCCACATAGATCGTATTCATGTGGTTTCTCTCCTGTGTTAATTAACTGTGTTGTTTAAAGGATAAATGGTCCCTGAAGGCATTTCCACATAGATTACAGGCAGAGAGATTCTCTCTTGAGTTCTCTGGTATGAGTAAGAATTAGCTCTCTAGTGAAGTGTTTCCTACATTCATTGTATTATAGAGTTTCCCTCCAGTGCAAGCTAACACATGTTGAGTCGATGTTGAGCTGTGAGTGACCACTTCCTCATACTCATTATATTCAAAGGGTTCCTCTCCACTGTGACATGTCTGCTACTGAGGCCATTAACAGGCTGTTAAAGCCTTCCTCACATACCTTCATTTATTCATTTATTTTCCCACATATGAATCTGATGCCAAACATTCAGTATAGTCTCTAATTAACATCTTCCACTTTGGTTATATTCATCTGGTGTGTTACTCTCCTTTGCGTATAGAAGTTTTCTCCTTTGTAGTAGGTCAGCTGTATAGCAATCTGACTAGTTTTAAGGTTTTCATTGTGTTTCAAGCACTTCGTATATTGGCTATATTTATGCTATTGCCCTCTTATAAGAACTCAGGTTATGATTTTGAGCTCAGGTTATTCCTTTTCTTCCAAATTAGAATTATCCATACCTTTGAGCTGAGATAGCACACTTTCTCTAGCCTCAAATTAAAGTCATGTGATTGTGCTGCATTCCTAATTTGCCCTCCCCAGGCCAATGCTACTGTGGAGGAACAGGGTTTACCCTCATGAATCTCAGTATTGACATCTTGTTAGATGGTCCCTTCTTGTAGATATTCTACATGGAAGTTCTTTGTTTTTAAGACTTTCCTAACAGACAATTCCATCAAACAGTGGGTGAAGGATATGAACAGACACTTATCAAAAGAAGACATTTATGCAGACAACAAACATGAGAAAAAGCTCATCATCACTGGTTATTAGAGAAAGGCCAATCAAATCCACAATGAGATACCATTTCAAGCCACTTAGAATGGGGATCATTAAAATGTCAGGAAACAACAGATGCCAGAGAATTAATTCAACTATTACAGAAGACAGTGTGGTGATTCCTCAAGGATCTAGAACCAGAAACGCCATTTGACCCAGCAATCCCATTACTGGGTATATACCCAAAGGATTATAAATCATTCTACTATAAAGGCTCATGCACACATATGTTTATTGCAGCACTGTTCACAATAGCAAAGACATGGTACCCCCCCAAATACCCATCAATGATAGACTGGATA